CTCGTCTTGAGTAATGGGTTTCTGGAGCTCTTGGGAAAGTATTTGATATTACTTTAAGATTAAAAATATTCGCTAAGCTCATCTAGTTTGCGTATTTGAATGCACTAATGTTCTTTTTTGTTTCAGATTATTCTGAAATATCTCTCACCTTTTCTTCACACTCATAATGCCTAAAAAGAATCGACGTACATTATTGTGTGAATCTTTTTTGAAACAACGATATTCAAGTGAAACTTTAGGAAATGAAAGTGAAGATAGTACCTCTGAAGAAGGGGAAGAAATGGAGACCGAATTAAACAATATCAATATTGAAGATAAAGAAAAGATCGATTTCGACAAGCCAATATTTCTGAATGATATTGGTGATATCTTCCGTAAGTGACTCTGTTAAATTAAGCACCTGGAAAGATCACTTTCTTCTTCTTCTCTCAAAACTTCCAATGGAAGTTCGGAAAAAGTCTTAATCATTTTTAATTCTCTTTCAAAATTTAGAATTGTGTAAAGCGTCCTGTCCTCTCAAATACTTAAGTGTATTAGTCTATACGACCTTACGGCATGTTGGTCTAAACTGGCAGCAATGTGATGATATTTTACGTCCAATGGGTTCATTATTAAGTGAAACATCACAAAAACACACCGAAGCCTTCCTTTTTGGTGATTTCAAAGATTTTACGAGTGAACACCGTGGTGGCAAACATACTAGTGCATTTTTTGATGATTTTCCTGAAATTGAAACTGAAGCTAAAGTTTATACGCTTACCCGGTGTTCTGATAAAGCAGCAAATTTTAGTATTAATGATTTAGCGAGATTTATCGATGAGAAATATTATGAAACAACTGGAACAACAAAACCAAAAGATAGTGAATTAATTAGATCGGAAGCTTCAGTTCGGTTAGTCTTTTTTTTAGTATAGATGCGTTGCAGATGACGCTCAGGAGTTGCGGTAGCAGTGTCAAAATCGGATACAAACAATTTTTTTGAATTTTGCTTTAGTTATTCAAAATGCTTTTTCTGCTTTAGTCTGGATTTACGACGTTGGGGAGCAACTTTTCGTGAGAATGGAGCACGTCCATACTGGGAGGGCCATGAAAGAGCAGATGTTGTCAAAAGTCGTGAAACATTTATAAATTATTTTTTGGATAATAAACAAAGTTATTACACAGTCAATGATAACGAAAACTTACCCGGTTGGATTAAACCTGAGAAAAAGCCAGGTCGAATCCTTATTTGTAAGAGAAGTTTTTTGTTTAGACCACAGTGAGTTAATTTCGTTTAATTTCAATTTTTAGTCCATGATGAGTCGACATTTCGTTCGGGAGAGATAGCCAGTCGTCGTTGGTTTTATGGAGATCAGGCACCCTTTTACAGTAAAGGCCGCGGCCGTTCTAATATGGTATCGGATTTCGTCGTCCAGCATCACTCTGGCCCCTATTTCAATTTAAGTGAAAAGGAAATGAAACGAGCTGTGAAAAAGTATCCTCAGCTGGCAGCATCAACAGATCTTGATTATGTTCCACGTACAGCCACGGCTTCTCTTCACATAGGATATGATTGTTACATGGATAACGAGGCCGTTCTTGATCAGTGTGAGCGTATCTTTCAGATGATTGAATTCAAAGAAGCATATCGTGATCACTCAGTGGAATTCATCTTTGACAATGCTCGCACTCACACAAAAAAGTCTCACTCTTTAAGTGATTTCAGTAAAAATATTGGCACTAAATGTGCAATCGATCAAATTCAGTGAGTGTTTTTATAAGAATTACTTCAGGACTTTTTATTGTTTCTCAAAAGTTTTGATTTCAATTAATTGCACCAATCTTCTCCCCATTCTAGATATAGAGATTCAAATGGAAAAGCACAAGTTTTAGATTGTTTTTTCGTGAACGGACCAAATCGTGGTTTAAGTAAAGGCTTGGCGGTGCTTGGAAAAGAGTTGAATGTAAGAAATGCTGATCGTCTGACATTACCAGAATTACGCTCTCATCTTGCTGATCAT